CGGCACCGGAGCAAGAGCCGTCACCCAATCCTTTAAGCTTCCAGAAACCTGCCCACGGTTGTTCTTTTTTCTCCCCATCCCACCCTCTTTTTCGCCCCACCCGCCCGCCAAAAAAAAACAGAACGGCACAGCCTGCCGCTCTCAAAAACAACCACGGAGAACACCCAACGCGAATCCCGAAACGCGAACGCCCCCCCCAAAGGCCTGGCGGTTCCCCCGGAGACGTCTTGCTTCCACAGGCAGTGGAGATGCAGCAGAAGTTGGCCGAGTCCAGTCGAATGAAGACTGCCCGGGGGGGTTGGGACTCGGTGGGTCGGTTGGGGGCCAAGGCCACGCCGGACTCGGGACTCGGTGGGTTCTGCAGGTGACGACCATACTTGTACGTGGCCACATCGCTGAAGGACCGTCTGGAAAAAAGGAGTAGATGTCGTATCCAAGGCAGGTGTTTTTGTTGGGGTGCATATATGTGGGCATGACTTCTCGGCGGAGAGATGACTGATTCCTATACTTCATTCAAGTCATTGATTCTCTAGAAAAAACCACCTCGAACCTTCGCTTCGCGCGATGGCCAAAGGGATCCTCCCTTTTCGGCTCGGACGAAGCGACGAGAACCGGTGCGGACGGCGACCGTTGGAAGAGCATGCGCCACAGTGACTGTTGTGGAAGAAGGGTCTGTCTCAATAAGACCGGTAACAGCCGGTCAATATGCCTTTACTGCCTTTGAAGGCCAACCTAGGACCTAGCCGTCATCCACTGTTTCTGGTAGTGGGATATGCTGTACACAAAATGTAAGCCTGCACAGGTGGTTCGAGTGGTTCGAACCATTCTTTTGGATGGGTACATTGTACACGATGGTACATCTTTGGGGTTGCAAAGGGCTTGTGATTTACACTGACTGGGGGTGTGGCAAAGCTGCTTCAGATGCCCTGCTTCAGGACGGTAGGCCTGCGACCTCAAGTGTTGTCCTTCGAACCTTTCTCCGTCCAAGCTTGTTCTTTCTCGTGCCCCTGAACATGCCTATAGTAACATGCATGTTGCATAATTACAAGTTGGAGACCATGACTACTAGGCTGGAGGCTGGAGACCATGTTCACATGCCTAGATAAATATAATATATATTATAGTCTCTACTAGCGTTCTTGTTCCTAGTAGTAAGGCCAGGAGCCCCTAGTAGCGATGCCCTTTGCTCCTAGCTTTGACAGACTCGAGTTCACAGATCGGAGCGCGATGGACCTCCTCATCTATGCGCTTTTGGCCTGGTGTGCGATCGACGTTCGAGGCGAGAAACTCACGACTATGGACCTCAAGCGCGCCATCCAAAGAGAAGGAGTTGTGAATGCCGCCAAGGCGCACGGGTTTTCAAAAATAGTAATTGTTATGGTATATCCCCCCATTTTTTTTGATAGAAACGGTTTCCAATGCGATTTTAGTGGAGATCTACATTGGGGGTCTATTTCTTCAGTAGGATGGGAGATCCGCACAGCGGATCATTGGGGCGCCAAAAGCGCCAGGCGAAGCTAAGAGCTCTTGATGGTGGTGTTTGCCCCAAGAGTTTCCCTCGCATCCTCCGCGGCTTTGACTACGGCATCGGCTGTGCATTTGTGGAGAAGAACTTGGCCGGAGTGGAGGGGAAGGCAGGGAAGAATGCTGCTAGTAGCGATGCCCTTTGTTCCGTTCGTAGCGTTCTTGTTCCTAGTAGTAAGGCCAGGAGCCCCTAGTAGCGTCCTTGCTCCTAGTAGCGATGCAGGAGCCCCTAGTAGCGTCCTTGCTCCTGGCCGGATTGGAGGGTATACGGCAGGTTCAGTTGGCCGAAGCATGTCGTTTCGCACTACGTAGAGCCCTCGTTGAAGGCAGAGAGACACGGTTTTCCAAGCCCTCACAGTGAACACAGAAGGCGATCAACTGGTCTACTTCGTCTACTTGTCTTAGACTTTTTCCCTGTAATGGCCTCCAACCTAGCGATGGGACAGCCCTGAGAGCGCTTGTCTTGTTTTTTCTCCATCCCATTTCCTTCCTCCATCCTTCTCTCCGGGTCGACCGTCTCAGGGCTGTCGCTGTCCCAGCGTCCTGGACGTGTGCGCCACGCAGCCGCGCTTCCGCAGCGTGCGACATTTGCCGGAGGAGTTGACCAGACTGACCGTCCCAGAACTCGGCTACTGTCGCACAGGCGCTTCCGCGCGGGCGGGGAGGTTTCAGGGAATGGGAGATGAATTGCTTTATAATTGGGGGAGTTGAGGATGTGGTTTCAGGGCAGAAGATGGTGCCTTCAATCAAAGATGTTGTGATTGAGGCAGCGATCTGCAACCACCCCCTCAAGATCCCACTTAATCGTCGAGCGGAAGGTTTTCGAAGGGTCGTTGCTCTCAGCGGCGCGCTCCAGCGCCACCTGGGAGCACTGGGAGCGAAGCATGAGGTACACCATCTTGCATGTAAAACACCAGCTTGGAGGCCCATTGCTTCCTTCCAGGTGATGGCAAAAACCATGTTTTGCACATGTGTGCCTGCGTGTCCCTGCGTGCCATTGCTACAGGTGCCTGGGTCTTTGCTCTTGGTGGCATGCTGCTTCTGGGAGCATTGGGTGGCACAGCAGTGCTGCTGAAGAGGAGAAGCCACGTAGATGTCTCAAGGACAGAAGCACAAGAAACCCGAGCCAAAGCTGCTGCGGCGTAGAGAATAGTATGGTAGAAAAAAGGCGGCGACCAATTCAAGGTCCAGGTGATTTTCGCCATCGTCTCGGTGAATTTAAGGCGCTTTGGCTCAAAGCAAAAGACTTTAAAGAACCTACTAGGGATCGCCTCCATCCTAAGAGCGATGGCTCCATCCTAATAGCGATGGCCTCCAACCTACTAGCGATGGCCTCCAACCTCAGAGCGATGGCCTCCAACCTAAGAGCGATGGCCTCCAATCTACTAGCGATGGCCTTTAAACCAATAGGGATAGCCTCCAACCTACTAGCGATGGCCTCAAACCTAAGAGCGATTGCCTCATATCTACTAGCGATGGCCTTTAACCCAATAGCGATAGCCTCCAAACTAGCAGCGATGG